TATACTATCTCTTTTTTATTTAGCCTCTTAACCTTGCGATTTACTCAATTTAGTATTTTTACTACAATTGTTTGTAAATTCTTTCTTCCCATCAGTTCCTTGTTCATTTATACTCTCGTCAGTAATTTAATCTCAAAATACTTTCTTAAAATATAATATTATGGATATATTTATATTTTTAGATTATATTTGATATATTAAATAATGTTATAATGTGAAAAGAATATAAAATATAAGAAACACGATTAACTCGACTCAAAAAAATTTCAAGTTAAATTCAAATTATAAAATACGAAATATAAACTCGAATAACTTGAATTTTTTTACTTTACTCGACTCGATAAACGCTTACCCCTACTTTCTCCCGTTTTATTTCTGGTGTTTGGTTAGAAAAGTACTTTATGTTATTTTTTTTGTATTTATAGACATCTTTATGCTTTATTAAAAAAATTATAGGAAACCCTAGTCATGTCCTCCGATATTATAGGAAACCCTAGTGATGCACCTGCTTCCGCTCTGCCCGGACGACTGCCGGACTTATCAATCCAGATCACCCAGCCACCTCTTTGGAACGCCCGGGCAATGAGATCCAATTTGAGGAGTTATAGGCGGGGAAAAATCGAGAAATCTCATGGTCTCTGGCCTCTCGTTCGAGTCGGATCAAAAGGGCTTGGAGCCCGATAGTAGGGATGTGACTATGAATGAAGCGGTTCCTACGCAGCCTGGAGAGGAGAGGGATCAGGCTAGCCAACCGAAATTGAACCAGGTAGTCGCAGGGACGGTTAAACTATCTTTTAGTGATATGGTGGCTAGGCATCAAGGACTGCCGCGAACAGAAAACTTTATAAGCGATTTGGATGTGGAATTATGTGAAGGTGGTGTGCAAATTGGTATGGATGGTCCTATCCCTGATATACGGTTCTCGGAGAGAGTTCATAACTTTATTGATGAGAAGCTTGCGAAATCTGTAATAATCTGTTTGTTAGGGAAGAAGAGCTACAATGCGTTACTCATCCAAATTCAAACGCTGTAGAGGGTGAATAGTGAGATGCAACTCATTGATTTGGATAACGAATACTTTCTGATACGCTTCGCTTTAGAGAATGATTACCTTAATGTCGTGGCTGAAAGGCCCTGGATGGTTTGTGGTAGTTATTTGGCGGTGTAGCCATGGTCAAGGTCGTTTTATACTTCGGATTATCATCCTCAACGAATACTTGTGTGGGTTCGACTTTCTGGACTTCCGTATCGCTATTATACTAAAAGTTTTCTTAGGGCAATTACGAGAGCACTCGGAAAGATTGTTAAGATAGATTATAATACGATTGAGGGTAAGAGGGGCCAGGGGGCGCTTTGCGAGATTAGCCATTGTCGTTGACTTGGGGAATCGTTGATTCATGGAATCATGATCGATGGGCATTTTTAGGGGGTAGAGCTTGAAGGCTTGCCGACCATATGTTTTACTTGTGGAATATATGGTCATACAAAAGACTCTTGTAGAGCTGTTTTGGTTGATGGTGCTGTAACGGGGATGGATGCTAATGGAGCAAATGAAACTGACAATGAACCATATGGCCCTTGGACGCAGGTGGTACCGAGGACAAAGAAAAAGGCTGCTGGGAAAGAAATTATTAATCGCGATGAGCCTGGGCCCAACAGTGGTGTTCATGTTAGTAAGAATCGTTATGGGGCTTTGGTCATTAATGAGGCGAATGAGCAGGCCGAACCCCGTGTAGGAGAAAACAAGAAGGAAACTGAGGTTGGGCCAAACCGTGGTGTTCAGGTAAGTAGGAATCGTTATGGGGCTTTGGTCATTAATGAGGCAAATGAGCAGGTTGAACCCTGTGTAGGAGAAAACATGAAGAAAATTGAGGTTCGTGAGGCTGGAACAGGGTGACGACGACTGTCATTGATAGTATGGTAACTGAAGCTTCAACATCTCGAACATTGTCATAAAATAAACAAGCGGAAAGGGGAAGAAACATTGTAAAGGAAAGCAGAACATTGCAAGTGACTTAAGCATGTCCACTGGGATAGATCTGTATGAAGTTAGCAACGGAAGACCCACGTGATAGGAAACAATTAAAAAATTGTAATAACTGGAAGCAACGATAAACCGATGCAGGTTCACTCTTATGTGCAGGACGGGAACCATATAGCCATTAATATAGGGGAGGAGGACCAGAGAGGAGTTTTATGGGAGAACAATGGTCGCGTTTCATGGGGCTCGAGGAAGGGGTCAAATTTGAAAAAAAGTGAAATGGCCCCTCGAAATCTCTTCTGGCCGAATGAATGGAATCCATGGTTAATAAGCTCAACGTAAAGGGGACAGATTTGAGTTTGGGGAGTTCAAATGGCCATCAGCATGCAATCACGGAGGTACGATGGAACTCTAATAAGACTTTCGAAAATGATCCTAACAGGGATCAAATGATTTAATGCAGTATGGTTTTCCTTCTCCTCTCCTTATTAATGGTTAAAGTTTTATTTTGGAATACTCAACGCATTCTTAGCTTTGCATTTAATCGATATTTTAAGCTTTTGTTGAAGCAGCATCAGCCAGATGTTATTGCATTGATGGAGCCTCAAGTGAGTGGATTTTAAGCTGATAAGTTCATCAAGAAATCGGGTTTTGAAGCTTCTTTCCGTGTGGAGGAAAGTGGCTTTTCAGGTGGTATTTGGATTCAGTAGAAATGGAGAGTTTTGACTGATATTTTGGTGGCGTCGAATCAGTTCATCCACGGGTATTGTGTGGATAAAAACAATACGAGGAGTTTTTTCATCACGTTTATTTATGCAAGCCCCGATAGTAGCAAGCGTAGTCATCTTTGGAATCAAGTGAGACCTTTGGAGCCGGAGAATAATATGCCTTGGGTGCTCGGTGGTGATCTTAATGTGATTTGCAATTCTCTTGAGAGACAAAGGGGATCAGGTAGGAGATCGGGTATTTTTCTGAAATTCTGTGATTTTCTTTTTGATTCAGGATTGATTGATCTGGGGTTCAATGGGCCATGTTTTACCTGTCAACGCGATGATCTTTACCGAATATTGGATAGATGATTGGGCAATGCTTGACGGATGGAGGTTTTTCGCTCGACAACTATCTACCACCTTCAGAAAATTGGTCTGACCATAGACCTTTGCTCTTATCTACCTCTGAGAATAGTGGTGATTATAATAAAAGGTCATTCTGTTTTGTGGATGCTTGGATTGATCATCATGATTTTGAACAATTCTTGCAAAACTCGTGGAAAAAAATGGGGAATCTCTGGATGGGAACTTGTCGAAGCTTTGGGCTGATTGTAGAACCATGAATAAGGAGGTTTTTGTCTATATTGATAGAAGGAAAACATTACTCCTAGCTTGAATTTGTCGAATTGAAGTAGCTTTTGAGAAGAAGCAATTGCCTTTCTTATTAAACTTAGGAGGAGCTGAAGCAAGAACTTGAGGTAACTCTTGATCAAGAGGAGAAATTATGGCATAAAAAATCTAGAAGCAAGTGATTCAAAGTGGTGATAGGAATACTCAGTTTTTCCATATTTCGACGATTAACTGACGGAGGCGAAACCATGTCTCTATGTTGAAGATGGATGAGGGGGATTGGTGTGAGTAGCCGAATCAGATCCAAAGCAATGCGGTGAGTTTTTTTATCAAAATCTATTTACGTTTGAGCCGCGACAGTCTATGAGCATTGGCAAGTGGGTGGTTTTAATCATTTTTACACGTACGCCGACAGTTGATGAGATACAATAAACTTTTTTCATGATGAATCCTTTGAAGGCACTTGGAATTGATGGCTTTCATGCGGGTTTCTATCAGAGGAATATGACTATTCTAGAAGGAAGTGTAACTCATTTTTTTCTGATTTTTGCAGGAATGGTAATCTTCCTCCTTCGGCAAATAAACTCTTCTGGTTGTCATCCAAAAGGTAGAGATCCCGGAGAGGATCTCACAATTCCAACCAATCAGTCTCTGCACGGTACCGTACAAGATAATTACAAAAATCCTGGTCAATCGGCTAAAATCTTTCCTTCTGGATTGGATTTCTCCTAATCAATCTAGCTTTGTACCGGCAAGGAACATTACAGACTACATTATTTTGGCTCAAAAGGTTATTCATTCTATGAGCATCAAGAAAGGCAATAAGGCGTGGATGGCGATTAAAGTGGACTTGGAGAAGGATTATGACTGACTAGAGTGGGACTGTTATAGTATCGTTCTAAGGAACGTAGAACGATGAGCAACGTAAAGTGGACAAGATCAAAGAGAGAATAGCTAGGAAGGAAAACTTCATTCATTTCATGATGTATACAAGTGATTAGAACAACCCAAGAAGTTTAACTGCTCATAACCACCTTAACTAACACTCAACAGCCTAACTAACACTTGAAGGATTGGTTAAAACCAACCCAGCTCTAGCTCATACACCAACATTCCCCCTACTTTACTACTGACATTCCTCAAGCCCTTTAACACACACAAGACACGCAAGAACATGCACCACATTCCCCCTACAGCAAACTCTCCTATCACTAAACACCATAAACTCACTCGTCACACTCCTCAACCGTTGAAGCCACAAATTTGCCTTGAATTTGTGAGACAAGTAATCGTTGCCTATGTTTAAGAAACGCTGGAGCAGACAACGGTTTGGTTAGGACATCAGCAACCTGCTCAAAAGCAGTACCTCCTGAACCGATAGCTTGCCAGCAGCTACCATTTCCATAACAAAAAACATGTCAAGTTCAACATGTTTGAACTTGGAATGCAGGATTGGATTTGCATAGACAGCTATAACACTGGAATTGTCACACCACAAGATAGGTTTCTCATGAATGGACACCTGCAGCTCACCCAGTAGTGATTCAAGCCATACTATCTCCGCAGCAGCACATGCAACACTCCGATACTCAACCTCTTCCATAGACCGAGCGACTACCTGTTGTTTACGAGAGCTCCAGAAACCAGATTGTCACCAAAGTAGACACAATAACCCGAGGTCAATCGTCTATCTGCATCTGACCCCAGTTCGCATCAGCAAAGCCTGTTAAAGACAACTGTGATGAAGCTGAAAAACCAAAATCAGCAGTAGTCTGCAGATACCTCAATATTCGTTTCACTACCTGAAGATGAACCTCACACGGTTCATGAATGAATTGACAGACCTTATTTACAGCAAAAGCAATGTCTGGTCGTGTGACAACAATGTAATGCAACGCACCAACAATGCTCCTATAATGAGTTGCATCCTCAACTGGTACTCCAGTGTCAACCGCCAGCTTGCAATTGGTGACCATAGGTGTAAGAAGGCCCTTAGCATCCTCCACCCACTTTTAAACAATAGATCACGTATATATTTTTGCTGACTTAAGATAACCACATCAGCTTCTCGACATACTTCGATTCCCAAAAAGAAACTTAAGAGCCCAAGATTATTTAGTGTAAACTGATTCTTAAGACCAGTGATCATATCTTGCACTTCTTCTTCACAGCTTCATGTGATGATAATATCATCTACGTATACTAGTAGATACATGATGATGTTAGTAGTTTCCTAACAAACAGTGAAGCATCAGACCTTGCTAACACAAAGTTTTGAGCCACCAAAAAACTCCTTTAGCTTCTCAAACCACGTTCGAGAGCCTGCTTCAGCCCATAAATGGCTTTGTTAAGCTTGTAAACCAAACTTCCATCACCTTCTTCATAGCCAGGTGGTTGTGCCATATATACCTCCTCAGTTAGAACTCATTGAGGAAGGCGTTATTTATATCCACTTGTCTCAACTACCATCCCTTAGCTAGTGCAAGCGAGAGCACGACTCGTACTGTTGCTGGCTTAACCACAGGGTTGAAGACCTCATGATAATCGATACCTGGCTACTGCAGAAACCCCTTAGCAACAAGTCAAGCCTTGTGCCTTGCTATGGATCCATCAACATTTTGTTTGATTTTGAAAATCCACTTACAATTAACTACTTTCCTTCCACTCGGAGAGGAACAAGTGTCCATGTGTTGTTCTTCACCAGCGCATCAAACTCTATTTGAGCAGCAGCTCTCCATTCAGGACTCTTCATGGCTTCTCAAATGGTCCTCGGTTCTTTATCTGAGCAAGCCACCTGAAGCACTTCGATTTCCAAATCCCATTTTTGCTTCGAGTCACCATGGGATGAACATTGGACTGTTCACCATCAGCCTGAGATTCTACACGTGTGACGGCACTAGGAACATACTTATTTATAATAGCATCATTATCATCACTCAAAACGGTTGGAACACATAACTCATGTACACCAGTGGTTGTCTCTTCATCACAAGCTATAGCAGGTACTACTAAGTCATTACCTGCACACTCATTCTCCACAACATCTGTTGCTTGGGATAAGCTAGGGAGATGCAAGTCCGGGGAGCGATTATGACTATGCACTGGATTAGACACAACCTGCATGCACCTTCTAGGTTAACCATTGTGTAACTCTGCAGAAGATTGTACTACAGGTAGAAAATTTGTCGAGGTGGGAGTGCCACATTTTAAGCAACCTTCTCATTTCTTATCAGCATAAGGAAAAACTCCTTCATCGAACATAACATGTCTTGAAATGAAGATTTTCCCACTGTCATCTAAACATTTGTATCCTTTATACAAAGGACTATATCCAAGAAACGTGCACCGTTTCAACTTGAAATCCAACTTATGTTGGTTGAATGACCTCAAAATAGGAAAGCATGCACACCCAAAAATCCTGAGCATGGAATAATCAGGAGTTTGCTTATAGAGCACCTCAAAAGGAGACTTTCCACCTAACACTTCAGTTGGTAAGAGGTTTATTAAATAAACAACTGAAATAAACGTATGACTCCAGAATTTTAAGGGTAGTTCAACCTTAGTTAGCAGTTCTAATCTCATTTCAACAATATGCATGTGTTTCCTCTCGGCTTTCCCGTTTTGTTCAGACGTACTTGGACAGGAAATTCTTTGCTGTAGACCATTAGCAAGGAACCAACCTTTGAGAGCTTGATACTCTCCTCCTCCATTAGTCTGGATAATTTTGATTTTGAAGCCAAACTGAACCTCTACCATCTTGTAGAAGTTTAAAAACATTGCATAACTTCAAATTTCCTTTTTAGTAGATAAATCCAAGTGTGCCTACTGTGCACATCTATAATGGACACATAATATGAATAACCATCAGCAAAAACAATAGGTGCTGGACCCCAAACATCTAAAACAATCAATTGAAAAGGTTCCTTGTATTCAGTTAAGGAATTACAAAATGGCAATTTATGCGCCTTGCTTTGTAAACATGTTGTACACACATGAGACAACTTATTTTCACTAGAGATGACATTACAAGTCTTCATTACAGCTCGAACATCAGCCATCGACGAATGACCAAGGCGTTTGTGCCACAAATCTATTGAACTCGATGCTTTCGAGACATTATTCAACTGCTAGCTCGAGTCCTTCACAGTATAGGGTAGCAACTGATTCAACCTAACATGCGTGAGCCTCCCCTTCAACAGGATCTCCTGATTCTGTGTGTCATTCACAAAACAGTCAAATGGGTGAAACTCTATAAAGACCTTATTGTCATGGTGAATTGTGACACACACAGTAGTTTCTTCTTTATGTTTGAAACATGAAGCATATTTTGTAGCAATAAAGGTTTGGATTTACTCAACAGACAAGACTGTCATATATGTGCGATCTTAACACCCTCTCCATTTCCCATAAGTAGAGTATTATTACCTGTGTAATCTGTACTAGAGTTGAAGATAGGCAAATCGTTGGTAACATGGTGTGTGGCTCCTGTATCTGGATACAAGACAACATCAGTAGGCTTAGTTAGGGCATTAACTGAAGGAATTGTGGAAACAAAGGCAGATAGTGAAGATGAGATGAGGAACCAAAGAGATTCTTTCCAGCAGTAGAACTAAACGATGGATCACTCGAGGCTACATTCATATGGGGCATAGCCACTTGATATGCAACTTGAGGAGTGAACAAGTGACCATTTCGGTAGTATGGCACTGAACCAAGCGATTGCACGCCAGGAAAGAATGAGTTAACACCTGGATGAAAAAAGTACACAGGAGTCTAGGCAAAACCAGGATTCACCAAGTGATTATACACTTGCATACTGACAGCAGGTTGATGTTTATCACCCGAGAAGGCACAAGATTGTCTCCATCCTTCAGTAGTTGATGCAGTGGAGTCAGACACCCCAGAATAGTCTCGATCAAACCTATTATAACACTTCTGTACAGTGTGGCCAAACTTTCCACATAGTTGACATTGAGGTCGGTTAGAACTGTTAAAATGACCATGACCTCAGAAACTATCACTTTGTTGAACCCTTACCGAATTTGGCTGTGACTGAGATGTAGAAATACTAGTGGATTTCAGTTCATCTTTGTCACTAGAATTAATTGCAATATTAACTGAGGCACTTTCATACAGGAAGAGCTTTTGTCGAGCTTCACAGTCAAGGAGCATCTCAGTTAGAACATCCAATGACAGAGAGTCTCGAGAGGCTATAACAATTATGGACTCAAATTCCATGGACAAGTTGGCCAAAAGAACACTAACATGTTCTTGTTCAGTCATTAAACTTCATGCTGCATTCAACATATCACAAATGGACTTAACTTTTCCAGATATTCACTCACTGTTAAACCAGCCTTCCTTTGCTAGTGAAGGCTATGTCTGAGGGCTGATATATTTGTACTAGACCTTGCACCAAAGAGTCGTGAGATAGCACTCCAAATAGCAAGAGTTGTCCTGAGACCAGTGAGATGAGGAAGAACTTTTGTGCTCACATGGTTATGAGCCAAGATGCCAAGAGTTTGTCTTGCTGCCTATTTCCCACAAAGGTTGGGTTCTCTTCTTCTTGCCCTGAATCATTCGTGACAAACTCACGAGGAGCAGAAGTGTCAGTAGACACATATTTCAATAGACCGTATCCCATCAATAATCAACATCACTTGATGCTTCCACAAGAGGTAAGTGCTTTCAGACAATTTTACAATGTCATGCTTAGGAATGTGTTGAACATTCAAACTAACCGGAGGGGATGCCATGGAAACCAGTTAAGCAAAACACACCAATCAAGAAACCAAGAATGATCTTTTTACCACCTGACCTTTAAGATCCATAACCACCTTCAACACCTAACTGTCACCACGAAGGAACTGACTTCAAGCATCGTAAAAGGGGAGAAACACAGCAAGCAGTGAACAACGAAGGAAAAACTCTAGGATTTGGCGCTGATACCATGTTATAGTATCGTTCTAAGGAACGATGAACAACGTAAAGTGGACAAGATCAAAGAGAGAATAGCTAGGAAGGAAAACTTCATTCATTTCATGATGATTACTCTCTCAATTATGAGAGATGTATTTATACAATTGACTAAAAGAACCCAATAAGCTTAACTGCTTATAACCACCTTAACTAACACTCAACAGCCTAACTAACACATGAAGGATTGGTTAAAACCAACCCAGCTCCAGCTCATACACCAACAAGGACTTCATTGAGGAAACTCTTATTGCGGTTGGTCTTCCGTTAATATTTAATGAGTAGATTATGATTTATGTTAAAACAGTCTCTACTCAGGTGCTTTGGAATGACAATGTCTCAGATAGTTTCAGACCTTCGAGAGGCATTCGTTAAGGAGATCTGCTTTCTCCATATATTTTTGTGCTGTGTATGGAGCACCTCTCCCATATTATTTAGCATCGGGTTAGCAAAAGAAGTTGGGGGCAAGTGCAATTGTCAAGGGATGCTCCTGGTATTACACATTATTATTCGCAGATAATTTATTTTTGTTTGCGGGACTTGTTTGAATCAAGTGATGGTAATTTAGGAGGCTTTGGAGCTTTTTTGTCGGTGTTCTGGTCACCTTGTAAGTACGATAAAGCCCAATTTTTTTTATAAAAATTGTGCTAGTACCATGAAGTCGAGGATTGCAAATAGTTTTGGGTTTGAAGCGGTCAATAATCTTAGGAATGTAATCACCAAATTTCATCTACCCCTATATATTATTATTTATTACAAAAATAATAATAATGCAAAAGAAAAAGAGAAGGGGACAAATCCCTTAATATCTAGGCATTCAATGCCCTGTTGCTGTTGAACCTGCCCTATGCCACCACTGTCATGCCCTGCCACTAGCACCAAACACTCCTCAACAAACCATAAGAAAATAAAGCAAAGGAACTTTTTTTTTCATTAAATGGGTTAATATAAAAACCCATAAAAATGTCATTGTAAGGAGGACTCCCCCTCATTTTTTCTCTCGAAAAAAGTGACAAAGAATTCCCTCTCTCTGGTCGATTATTCCAAGAGAAAGAGCATTTTTGTAACCTTCTTCTTCATATTTCAAATGAAAAACAAAAAACAATACAACCAGAAACAACCAAATATTTGAGAAGGTTTTTTTTTTCATTCTTTTTGAAACCTTATTATTCTTCATATTTCTTATTGCATTTTTGCATTCTTTTTGCATTCATATTTCATTAACACACATTTCCTCTCTTTGATTATTACTTTTGTTAACATCTTTTCCTGGTTATGTTTTCTTATTTTGTGCATAAACCTGACATTAATTCCCGGGTTAATTATCAAATTAGAAGGCTTTTAAAATGAAAACACCACATGAAGGGGCAAATAAATTATTTTTCTCTGCTTTGACATATTGGGACGTTGTGAGTTCTTTGAAAGTTGTTCTAAGATAATTACCTTTGAATTAACACATGTTTCATACATGATGTATCATAGAAGGTATTAATTCCCGAGTTAATAGTTACATTATAAGTCTTTCAATTCGATAATGTCACTTGAAGGGGTAGAATAGAACTGCAAAAACACATCAATGGTCTAGAAGGGTGCTCTAGAAGCAGCTGAAGAGGTACATCAAGCTGGAATACATGAAGCTCAAACGATGCAATTGATCAAGTCATTGATACAACTAGCTAAAAAGAAGTACTATATTCGAAGTCATCAAGCAACAATGAAAGCTGATACAAGACAGTGGATGATGTCAGTCGCATATGGTCACTCAACAAATGCATT